GAGATGATACCCCCTGGTGCTCTAGTCATGCTTACGCCCCTTATTGTTGGGACTTTCTTTGGTGTGGAGACCCTATCTGGAGTACTCGCCGGCGCTCTCGTTTCTGGTGTTCAGGTAAAATTGCAAAATTTCTATTTCAAATTTAACCATTGTGGCATTTTCATGCTATTTATTAATGTTATGGGGGTGAACATCAATTAACTCTAAAAATAAGTGAGACAAGATCATTGATATTTCCCATACAAATTTATTCTTCTTCAATTCGATGCGGAACTAAACTAACTACTCTCATGTGTCTCACCATTAACCCATGTTCGACAGATCGCCATCTCTGCATCAAACACAGGCGGTGCTTGGGACAATGCCAAGAAATACATCGAGGTACTTTTTCGCTACCCTTATGCCGAAGTTTCTATCCTCTCCACTCAATTAACTCGATGAGTTCTCGTTCGTAGGCCGGCGCATCAGAGCATGCTAGGACTCTGGGTCCTAAGGGGTCGGACCCTCACAAGGCGGCCGTCATTGGAGACACCATTGGTGACCCTCTAAAGGACACTTCTGGCCCTTCTCTTAATATCCTGATCAAGCTGATGGCCGTCGAATCTCTCGTCTTTGCGCCCTTCTTCGCCACTCACGGCGGTCTCCTTTTCAAGATCTTCTGATATAATTGAGGATCATGTCACGGCTCTATATCTCTGGTTCAGTTTCAGTTCTGTTGTCTGATTGAGCTCATCTCGGTTATAGGTCATGCAAAAAGTTTTCCCCTACCAAGTTTTAGATGCATAAATACTGTAATTTGCTGTTAATTATTCAGTCGGTCATGTTCTCTTGGTCGTCGTCCTACTTCTCGAATGTTTTGTTTGGAGTGTTTGCAGCTTGATTAGCTTGATTGTTGGTTTCATCTTGTTTTTACTTCAACCTTAGTGAGAAAAGTTTTATGATCTCTTTTTTGAGCTTAATTTTGCAACTATCTTCACAATCATATTCATAATGAATGTCATCTATATCATACGATCACAGTACTAGTGATATTTAATTTTAAACATTTTGACATCATA